AGGAAACTTAATGGTGTCCACAATACAGAGTTCTTCCTTATGTCCCAGTGGCAGCAGTTTCCATTAACTTCAGTTCCTCAGAGAAAGGCATTAAGAAATGAACGTGAGGCATCTAATTATAATGCTATGTATAGGAATGTGGTAGATTTAAATAGTTAACTTTTAACAGTGACAGCACTAAAAGATGGGATTTGCTTAAATAGCAGTTTTTATTGTACATCATCTTAATGTTTTTTCTTCATAGGTTGGCTCAGACTGAGGGGCAGGGATTGGAGCAACAAATATCTGTAGAGTGATAGCTGTCAGGCACTGTGCTGTGGGGTTCTGTGGGTTATTTTGATTTTGGTTCACACAACAATTTAGCGAGTTAGCTGTCATTCATCCTGATTTTGCACATAAGGAACTGCTCAGAAAAATGAAATAGCTTGCTTGAGGCCACCCTCAAGTGGTGGGTCTAGAACTGTGACCCACGTATGCCTGTCTGAAAGCATATTTCTTTCACTACGTCATTATTAGCACTAAAGACATCTTTTTCCTTAGTGTTGTATTAGCTTTGATATGTACTCCTGAACTACCCACATATAAATTTTTCTGCAGGAGAAAAAAATACATGTGTATTAATCATATTAAAATAGGAACATTATAAGCTCAGCATATCCAAGCAATGTTTTACATTATCTGAAGTGTCACAGGTTGGGGTCATAGGTGAGGGTGTGTGTGAAAGAAATTGATAAGAATAGTGGAAACCTAGCACCACGTTATACTGGCCCTCACACTATGGAGAGCTGTGTGATTTCTACTCTTCTACTTTTCTCTTTTCTTTCTCTGTTCTCCTATCACTCCGAGCTGTCCTTTATTTGTGGCATTCACTGTACCATTCATAATTTATTTAATATCTTTCCTCATTGTTAGTGGCAAGCTCAGTAAGAGCAGGGCTGTGTGTACCATGTTCCCCACGTTAGGCGCTGAATGATACAAGTGCTCCTGCTGTCCGTGTCTGTCTGGCCCCTGAGATTGGATAGCAGGTTGGGATGACAAGAGACATACTTACTTGTAGACTTAGAGGAAAAGAAGAAAATACAGCAGTTCTGGAGTATGGGGATAAAAAGAAGGGAATAGAATGAAGAAAAGGGTACAACTGATGAGAGTGGGGATAAGGAGAGCGCTGTAGGATTTCTTACATGCCTGGGAGTTACAAGTCTGCAGTTGAATGTATAGTAGTCTCCCCTCATCCTGGGACATGTTCCAAGTCCCCCAGTGGATGCCTAAAACTGCAGAGAATACTGAACCCCATACACACTGTTTTTTCCCATATTTACATGCCTGTGATAAGGTTTAATTTATAAATGAGGCATAGTGAGAGATTAGCAATAATAACTAATAATAAAGTAGAGCAATTATAATAATACGCTGTAATAAAAGTTAATGTGGTCGCTTCCTCTTTCTCAAAGTATCCTACAGTACTGTGCCACGGGAAACTAAAATTGGGAGAAGTAGTCCTGTAGGTAAGGGGAGACTTACCTCCCTGCGTAGCGAAGGCTCACACATGGGCTAGTAACGAGTAAGGCACGAGAGCTTGCGTCACAAGAAGCTGACTACTCTTCAGTTTAAGCTGCATGGATTAGGACCTGATTTTAGCAGCTTTTACTCACTTTTGTATAACATTTATTACTTTTTTTCCCATGCTTTTAGTCTACCTGTTTCTAAATTAAGAAGGGACTGGTGCCAGAGTATGAGGAACTCTAGCTAAGAGAAACGGCTGGACTCCCTTTGCCACGTCTCAGGATTCCAGGCTTCTCTTTTAATGTTGAGGACAATTTTCATGGGCTGAGAGATGAGTAGTGGTAAAGTGTTTGAGCCCTTAGATGGTTTGTCCCCCTCCTGCCCCTCTCCTCCTTTTTGTCTGACCTTCTTATCAGTTTTTCGCTTCAGTGGTGATGGCCTCCTTCTCTGCCGTTTCTTGAACATGCCAAGGACACTCCTGCTTCAGGGACTCTTTACGCATGTGCCGCCTCCTTCCTGGTACTTGCCCCACAGATAGCCATGGTAACTTGCCCTCCGACCTTCAGATCTTCTCAAATGTCATCTCATCTTTGAGTTTTTTCTCTGACCTCTCTGTGAAAAATAACGGTGCCTCCCACACTCCCTCTGCTTTATTTTCCTTGCCCGACACCCTCTGGAATACTGTATACGCTGCCTCATGGGATTACAAATCCATGAGGACGGGGACTTGGTTTTCGTACATGGTTGGAGCTACAGTGCCTAGGAGAGTGCCCAGATGGGACAACATTTGTGTAACTGGAGGAAAACCTTTATTGTTTTTAAAATTTGTTTTTCATTGACAAATAATTGTTGAAAAATTCTTTATTTATCAGTCTAATTCTAGAGATTAAATGAGAAAAAAACCCTTTTTTTCTTTGTTACTTTTGGGGTTCTGTGATATATTTGTTGTTGGTTGGGGTACTTCCTGTTGAAAACAAATTTCAGAATGAAGATGGGTATATAATTGAAATGAAACAAAGGAACTAAAATAAAACACTATCAGTAATCTTTTTTTTTTTTTTAAAGAGACAGGGTCTTGCTCTACTGCCCAGGCTGGAGTGCAGTGTCAGGATCACAGCTCACTGCAGCCCAGAACTCCTGGGCTCAAGTGACCCTCCTGCCTCTGCTTCCCACTGGGATTACAGGTGCATGCCACCACAGCCAGCTAATTTTTCTTATTTTTTGTAGAGATGGGGATTTGCTGTGTCACTCAGGCTGGTCCAGAACTCCTGGCCTCAAGCCATCCTCCCGCCTTGGCCTCTGAAAGTTCTGGGACTACAGGTGTGAGCCACTGCACCTGGCGAAATAATATGAAAAAATAATTTTGTAAAAACTCTTTATTCCTCCAGGGAACATAGGCCTTCTATATTTTGTCCCTAAAACCTACCTCCTTATTTGCATTTTCTATTGTGGCTAAAACTTGTCATACTTTCCTGTGTCTCTGCTTTTCACTTCACTCAGTCTAAATCCTGGTTCTTTGATGTTTCAGCTCAAAAAAGACCTCCGTTCCAATTATCTCATCTCTGCATTGCTTACTAAACTCTTATGTGTTCTTCAAATCTTTATTGGTTACACTGCTCAGGTGACAGGTAATCCGTGTATTGTTTATACACATATGTCTTATGTTTTCCAGCTCTGTTAACTATCTTGTGAGAGCTGGGACCTTAGTGTTTTCTCACTGCCCAGGATCCAGAAGACATTTGGGAACTGTAGGCGACAGAGTGGTTTGAAAAGCCTTCCTATAGTTCTATTACATACATTGATATTTTTAGGTTTTACTTTTAAAGGACTTGGTCAAAGTCAAACCTTTTGGGTGTATAGCAGGACCTAGAAAAATGCTACTTCGTATCTTATGAGTTCAACTTAAATAATTTAGTCAGAAAAAAAGCATGTTTTTCTCTTGAAGAATTAGTAAATAACATTTTTTTTTTCTGTGTGGTAGGTCCTGCCAATTTAAAAATAACGATATTTATAGTTTGGACACCTACAGTAGGTGGCCTATTATAACCTGAAAAAATATGTTTTGCTTCATACTTTTCAAAAACTGTGGAAGTAGGCCAGGTGCGGTGGCTCACGCCTGTAATCCTAGCTCTCTGGGAGGCCGAGGCGGGCAGATTGTTTGAGCTCA